TCTCTCTCTCTCTCTCTCTCTCTCTCCCTCAGCCCTCGGAACTCTTGCTTCTTCACCTCACCACCTCCGTCGAACTTCCTTTCTGTCTTATCCCGGCTCCCCCGCAGCCGTCCGTTTTTATCCTCCCTCCTCCTGCCGCCACCCTCGCACTCTCAATCCTTTTTTCCCCCCATCTATACGCTTCGGCGATAATAACCGGCGAACCAACGGTGCAAATCTTCAATCTCGTCTGGCAAATGGCCGATCTCGAGGCGCGGTACGTTTGCCAGACGGGACAAAAGAAGAAGTCCTTCGATGTGTGTCCGTAGCTGCGAGCCCCTGCGGAAATTTTCCACCGGATAAGACCACATTGTTCGCCGGCGCGCAGCTTCTTCTCGCTGCCGCGTTGCTTTTTCGATTTTTTCTCTCTCTCTCTCTCTCTCTCTTCCCCCTTTTTCTTCCTCCTTTTACCTGCCTTTTGCTCGGCGACGCCGTTTCTCGTTCTCCTCCGAACACGTCCTCCTGTTCGACGTCGTCCCGCCCATCGCTCATCGCCCCCCTCCCCCTCCCTCGCTGCGCTACGCGAAAATCTGACGCGTAGAAGAGAGATTTATAAGCGATGACACGTGAAAGTGGTCCATTTACATCTCTCTGTCGCGAACCGCTGCACGTGGCAGTGTTATATCGATCGATGTGCGCGAGCAGCGCATTCTCTTCGATTCCTGAGACGCCGGCGTTGCTATTTCGCACCGGCCGCGATATCGCACGGAGTTCGCGACGGACAAATTGAGGCGCCATGACCGAACAGGGCTGTACGTCACGTTCGGCAGCTTTCGAGCGGAAAGTAGACTCCGAGAGAAAGAAAGAGAGAGAGAGAGAGAGAGAACCTCGGAGAGTTGGCTACTTTCGCCGAAGTGGGTAACATAGATCTTCGTGCCGCGCAACCGTCTCTTCCGCAACGCGTAAAAGCTACGACTTAATATCGACTAGTTTATTTTCCTCTCCGAGAGAGAGAGAGAGAGAGAGAGAGAGAGAGAGGGGAGAGAGAGAGAGGCGATCAAAAGTCCAGAGCATGGACTTTTCATCGGAATTTTCAGCGCATCCGAATGAGTTGGTCGAGACACTCCTCGGCCAGCACGTGAATTTCTCTCTTTCTCTCTCTCCCTCTCCCTCCCTCTCTCCCTCCCTCTTTCTTCCTCTCCATTTTCAATTTCACATCGTGTTCGGCAATATCATCGCGACCGTGTCGCGCCAATATTGCAATCCCTCAGGTTCGCTCGAGGAATACAATTTGCGCGATCAATAAGAAAACCGTCAAAGCGGAAGCGTCTCGATCCCCTCCCCTCCCCTCCCCCCTCCGATCCTGCCGGCAATTCTGGGCGCGCGAAGCTGGCTTTAAAACGCGGCGGAGAATGTTCCGAGGTAAGAGACAATGTTGTTGGACGGTCTTATCTACCTCGCTCCTTCCCGCCGCGCCCGCCGTGTCGCCTTTCATTCTGTCCTCTTCGTTCCGTTATTCTTTATCTCCTAAACATACGACGCCGCCAGGTAAATGTTGAGGCAACATTGTAAATCTCCGCCGTTGTTCGGAAGCCGACCAGGCTCCGGAATCCACCTGTATTGTCGCGCGAAGCCACGGGCGAGGAGAGGGAGGGGGGGGGACGTAAGGGATGCCGAGCGTTTAAAACGCCGGGCGAATTGGAGGAGCCGTTAGAATATCGGGCGCGCGATAGAGACGGTGTGCTTCAGGGTAATTTCCCGATGCGCGCTTCTTCTTTATCGAACACACGATCAGGCAAACGCGATCGCAATGGCGTCTCTTGCGATTTTTAGATCGCGCCGCCTCTCGCCGCCTTTGCGTTCGTTGTCGTATTCGCGTCGTCGTCATCCATCTATCCTTCTGCATTGTCTTCTCTCCCCCTCTCTTCCTCTCTCCTTCTTTCATCTTTATCGAATATAGCACAGATGAGATCTCCAGCGCGCGGGGCGACAACGAGACAATCCCCCCGCCCCTCGCCCGCTCCCCATTAGCCCTCCCTTATCCGCGTCCGCTACGCGCTGGATGGCACCGCGCGAATGAAAGGCGTGTCTTAATTTTCACGTTCATTTGCGATTCGTAACGTCGGGAGAAAAAGTAGAGTTGCAATGGTAATGACCCGCCGCGGATTGCGGTTTGAATTCGTTGTGCTTCGGAAGCCATAAAAAAATTTTTCCGTGCAAATATTGCGACAGCGGAATCAGCTGAGAAATGAAATTAGCTTTCCATCTCCAAGTTCCGCCTTCGGTTCTCGCTCGCTCGTGGCGATCCGGCAGATGTAATCTCGAATTTTAATTTAACTTTATTATCACCTTAATTATTCGTTGCATTAGTTAGCGAGAAAATAATTTATGTCGCACTTCGGAATTAGCGTCGCGCGGCAAATCATTTCGATCTTCGTCTCCCCGACTCGCGCTCGCTGCTCAGAAATGTCGCTCGAATCTTTTTCTTTCTTCCCTCTTTTTAATTCTCTCGTTGCGGAAGGACGCTTCTCTGATTCTCGCCGCGCGCGCGCGTGAATCATACGCTCCATCATCAATGTGTAATTAACGTCAAGCTGCGCGCGTTATGTTTGCTTTAATTGCCATCGGCCATCGGAGATGACATCTCGCTCCCGTAACGTCATCGGAGATATATTTACCCCACCGCGGTGTCTCAAAGCGAGGCGAACCACGAGGGGGATGTATATTTTTCGATATCGACCCGCATCTCTCAAAGCTGCAAATCTAACGTGTCTACTCGGAGTCGATCAGACGTTTATAAGTTGCGCGGGGAACTAAAAGGATCTTGAAATTTCGCGACGGCGGCGTCGCGTCGTCGTGAAAGTATCGAGCGCCGGTATAACAAGTTATACCGTAACCGCCGCCGGTAGTCGTGACAAAAAGGAGAACTCGATGTGAAAAAGCTCGAGCTACCCAAATAAAATTGTTCCCCTGTAATCGAGTCCTCGAGGGGGAAAAGCTGCGTCGTCGTCGTCGTCGTCGTCGTCGTCGTCGTCGTGGAGAGAACCTCGGATGCCAATATTCGTCGTTTATGCATACGTCGCGTTTCCCTTTCGCGCGGCTGCCTACGCAGCAAATCTCGAGGAGGAGGACGCGTGCAGGAAAAATATCAATCGCGCGCCGATATCACGCTTAATTAAATCCTCCTCCGATACAGCCATTTTCAACGTCCCCTCTCCCTTCGTCCTCGAGCAAACCCCGTCGCGCGCGCGTCGCACGGCTTGCCGACAGGCCGATGATAATCCTCATTATCAGATGCATTATCCCGCGTGAGAACTGTCGTTTGTAAACTCTCTCTCTCTCTCTCTCTCTCTCTCTCTCTCTCTCTCTCTCTCTTGTCGTGGCAGAGGAATCGCCTACGGCCGACAGGACTCTGTCAATCCTTCGTCGAAACGTCCTTCAATGCTTTCGCGCATCGAACATATCCATTCGTCACATCTTAACCAATCTTGTGGAAAAAATTTTGGCAAAGACTTGACGGCGAGCAGACCGCTATTGCGAGTCCAGTCTAATTCGTCGAAGAGGATTCCCCACGTTCGCGTGAAACCCGCGGAGCCATTAATATCCCTGCACTGTGCCATTCACCGCGCCGCGTCGCGTCGCGTCGCGTCGCGCCCCGCGGCGCTGTGAGAGAGTCGTTTTTCACGACGAGCCACAAAAGTCATCGCCGTGGATGGGTTCTCACGTAAAAAGCTCGAGTGTCACGGCGGATGCTGCTTCCGCAGCGGCGACGTTGCGCAACGGTGACGAGTTCGTCATGACGACGACGTCGTCGTCAGGGTCCGCGATGCGAAGAGGCGGCGGCCAGCGACGCGCGCGCTCGCGCTCGCCAGAGAACGGGCGAATTTAATTTCTACGTAACATTACACCTTAGGAGCCTTATACCAGCGCCATTGTGCGCCTCCAGGGGCGACGCGCGGAGAGACACTCGATCGCAGGACTCCATTTGCGGTTTAGCATAATGGAAACCCAACGCGCCCCGGGGGCCGTCCGCGCCCCTGTCCTCTCGACGTCTCTCGTCTCGTCTTGCCTTAGTCTACTTCGTTCTCGTATTCTCCCACTGTGTGGGCGAGTGCCTGTGTGATATTCGTGTATGTGTGTGTGTGTTTGCGAGAATGTAAGAATGAACAAAAATAAGTAAGCCGTGGAAACACGGTGGGAAAGGTAACCCGGCTCTCTCTCTCTCTCTCTCTCTCTCTCTCTCTCTCTCTCTCTCTCTCTCTGTCTCTCTCGCGGTAGCATTCAGCGTCAAACATGGGCCGCTGGTCATTTCTAACGAGGGGACGCTACGAAAACGTGACGCGCCTCGCGGATTCTCCCCCCGTGTAGCGCATTTTCACCTTCCCTCCGCCCTCCGCATGTATGAAAATATTTATTCGTTAACGAATAATTTCTCTAACGAATGTATCCGGGATTGTGCGCGCGCGCGCGTGCTTGTCCGGCGTAATGAAGAAAACACACAGCGCAGAGGGCAAGGGCGGGATCGGTAAGGGAGTGCGTGTCGAGCGATTTATTTATAGAAGCTACTCAGAGGATAGAAGCTGCTGAGAGCGCGAATTCTCTCCGCGGTGGCCGCGGTTCGGTGCTTGAAGTGGAGATATGACAGGCGCCGTCTCCACGACGAGCGATGGTTGTTTATTTCGCTTCGAACCGAAGCGCCGTCGTCGCGGCGCTCCGCGGCGAATGAGAATGCGTGTACAGAGAGAATTGTCGCTCAGACATCATCCATCCCCTTTGCCAGCGAGCTACCGCTAATGATGCCTCGCTCGTTCGCAGCGGTCAGATATATCCGCGACGCGCGGGCATAAAGCCGTTGCCGAAATGATCCTCGAATCAGGCCGCAAATGCACGTCTGCCGTGGCTCAATGGCCGTCATTCGTCTCGCCTGACGACGAGAGAGCGCCCACGGCTAGACTCATTTTCGGCGGCGAAACCGAGCCCCGTCTCGCTCCTCTCTCACTCCTTATCTTTTATTCTTGCAGGGAGGCTGTGATGAGGGAAGTCGGCTAAAAAGGAGCCCCACGTCGCGCAAGCGTCGGTAGGAGTACAGGAAAGATGCCGCTTTCCTCGAGAGTCTTATTAAGCCCGCTGCTGCTTCTAATCATCGCAGGAAGCACCGGCGCCTTCAGCTCCCGGCAAGAAGGTAAGAAACCTTCGCCTTGAACGACGTTTCGCCGCCGGCTAGACAATGACAATGACATCGGCGACGGCGACGACGGAGACGATGGCTGTTGCGAATTCTGTCTTTTCGCGGCTGCGACGAATTTTCACGAGAATAGTCGCGCGGCTGTACTCCTCCCCCTGCCCCCTGCCCCCTGCCCTCCGTCGCGCCGAGCCTGGCGCTAGGTGTTGTATCTTCAAGTTTGGAGATAGCGCATACTTCCATCCCCACGGAGCTTCCGTCTGTCAATTTTACGCTATTTGCACATTCGTCGACAAGCGTGAAAATACGTTATCGCGGCGTTACGCGCTCCTTTATTTTACGCACGTCCCGTCGACGATCGGAATGTCGAAGACGTATCTTCAGGGCGCAAGAGGTTTGCGGTGCAATATATAAGTGTACTTGAGGTAACAACGTTACCTTCAACGTGTTGTAATTTAATATCACGTACAAATACAGTCGATAAACAACATAATTATGTCTCTTATGTTTAAGTTATTATATATATTTTTTGTATATTTTATGTTCTCTTTTTTATATTATGTTATATTGTACGACATTTTATATCATAATACACTGTATTATATTATTCATATTATATTACATTGTGTTTTATATTATTATGCGTTATATATTGTATTATATTTCATTGAAACATATTAAAAGTGGCGAAATCTTACAAGGAGAGTGTCACAACTGTCCCTCACCGATTTGAATGGGCTTCGGATATGTTGTAGAGCATCAAGAACTAAGGGATACATATTTTTTTATATCGGCTTCGGAGCATGTTTAGGGGGTGAAACCACCCCTTGAAAAAAAATAGCAGTTATTAAATAGCGTTTTTATCAAATATTTTCTAAATTATGAGTCATATGAAGAAAAGTTTCAGACAAAAGTTTTGCAATACTTTATGCTCTTTGCAACCATGTGTTTAGTTTTTTTAAAATTTCAAATGTTGAACTACTCCGCCCCGCCCCTCTCGTTACTCTGGCAAAATTTTTAAGTTTTTGTAAGGACAAAAATTGTAGAGCATCAAATACCAAGTCCATCCATATATAATATTAGAAAATGGTATTTAATATTTTGGACAAAACGCAATGAGAATGGTATATGTGCCGCTCTGCCCGAGTAGATAGATACTGTAGGTAGATACGCTGTGATATTTCTCTGCAATTGCACTATGCTTCACGACTGCTTGTGCATATTTTCTTATGCTACAATTAATCATAATGATATGATATACAATATTACACGAAATAAAAATGCTTGATGAAAACGTGAACAATAGAATAATTTGCATATATAACAGTAGCAAATGTGTGTGCAGCATCGCTATTTGTACAAAAGCTCCAAATGTATATTTTCTTCATTTAATGTGTAAAATTTATGTTCACTACAATCTGAAAGGTATGTCGATTAAGGATAATTAAAATGATTGAAAAAGTATTTCGTGCAATGTACGTGAAATAATGCAACACATTATCATCAGCCTAATTAGTAAACCTCCTAACTTCAATTTTTGATTCAAAATTAAGATACTCATTTTGTTCGATTTATCTCGTCGACTTTGATCGAATAAAATGAGTCTCAATTTTGTCAAAAATTGGAATTAAGTGGTTTTTCTAATTAGGCCGACGTTATGTTACCTCTGCAAGCGTGTAGTGCGACAATACAATATATTTTATTAATTGCTGAATGAAACATAACGAAGGGCTTAACAAAAATTATGGAGTAATAATTTATAGGATAGAGAGGAACAATACAATAAATTATAGAAGAATAAATGGCCTCGATAACAAACGTGATTCAGCTATAGGTTAAACAAAAATAAGGAGCAACGCAGATTCGCCAAGAAAAACAACTTCAACAAAGTAATCGTTCACCAACCGAATCAAACACAGACAATCACAATGAAATCGAGCACGTGGTTCAATAATAAACAATAAGCATTATTGGCGTGCGATAAGAGATATAATAAACATTGACTATTATTGGCGTGCGTCCACGTTCAAAAATCAAGGACGAGTGACAGACGAGTAGCAGACGGCGGAAAGACTTAAAATATATCTCGGAAACTCTGTTTGTGAACAGGATGGTACATTATAATCTATCGAGTATTTTGATGATGGATAGATAATTCAGAAAATATACATTTGAAATGTCTGTACAAATATCGCGCGCCACACGCATTTGCTACGTTGTTATATATGCGATTTATCTCTGCTCACATGTTTATTTTGTGTAAAGGACTGGTCTCACGATTGTGTTAATAATTTTCTATACGCTAACTTTTATGAAGTTGCATATGGAACATTATATGACAAGGTTCATGATTTTGAATTGTTAGTGTTATTGTTTTTGTCGAAATCATGAAGGTTGCCATGCAGAGCTCCGTGCACAATTTTATAAGTTAACATATAGAAAATTATTAACACAATCGAGCATTGTGGGACTAATATCATATCATTATGATTAATTAAAGCATAAGAAAATATGCACAAGCAGTCGTGAAGCATAGTGCAATTGCAGAGAAATATCACAGCGCGGCACATATACCATAAAGTTTTCTCATTGCGTTTTGTCCAAAATATTAAATACCACTTTCTAATATTATATGTGGATGAATTTGGTATTTGATGCTCTACAATTTTTGTCCTTACAAAAACTTAAAAATTTTGCCAGAGTAACGAGAGGGGCGGGGGGGAGTAGTTCAACATTTGAAATTTTAAAAAACTAAACACATGGTTGCAAAGAGCATAAAATATTGCAAAACTTTTGTCTGAAACTTTTCTTCATATGACTCATAATTTAGAAAATATTTGATAAAAACGCTATTTAATAACGGCTATTTTTTTCAAGGGGTGGTTTCACCCACTACACATGCTCCGAAGCCGATATAAAAAAATATGTATCCCTTAGTTTTTGATGCTCTACAACATATTCGAAGCCCATTCAAATCGGTGAGGGACAGTTATGATATTCTCCTTGTTAGTTGAGTTCTTTTTCTTATTTGACTTACGTTCCATATTTTCCCTGTTTCTTATTATAACTATAAACATAAAAATTCGAAAAATTAATATTTCCAAATTTCCCGCCAAAAATTCGTGCCACTTCTTCACTCATGATATTCTCCTGATACCAAAGTGCGAAAATAAACAAAATCCCATTTTAACATTTTAGTATCAGGAGAATATAATGAGCGAAGAGGTATTCGAAATCTTGGTGGGACATTTCAAAATTCCAGATTTTCTCAGTTTCCCAATTTTGCGTTTTGGTATCAGGAGAATATAATGAGTGAAGAGGTATTCAAAATTCGGTGGGAAATTTCAAAATTCCAGATTTTCTCAGTTTCTCAGTTTCGCGATTTGGTATCAGGGAAATATAATGAGCAAAGAGGTATTCAAAATTCTGCGGGAAATTTGAAAATTCCAGATTTTCTCAGTTTCCCAATTTTGCGTTTCGGTATCAGGAGAATATAATGAGCGAAGAGGTATTCGAAATTCGGCGGGAAATTAAAAAATTCCAGATTTTCTCAGTTTCCCAATTTTGCGTTTCGGTATCAGGAGAATATAATGAGCGAAGAGGTATTTGAAATTCTGGCGGGAAATTTGAAAATTCCAGATTCTCTCAATTTCTCAATTTTGCGTTTTGGTATCAGGAGAATATAATGAGCGAAGAGGTATTCGAAATTCGGCGGGAAATTTAAAAATTCCAGATTTTCTCAGTTTCCCAATTTTGCGTTTCGGTATCAGGAAAATATAATGAGCGAAGAGGTATTCGAAATTCTGGCGGGAAATTTAAAAATTCCAGATTTTCTCAGTTTCCCAATTTTGCGATTTGGTATCAGGGAAATATAACGAGCAAAGAAGTAGCTGAAACTTTTTGCGGGAGATTAAAAACATCAATTTCCCGATTTTTATATTTTAATATAATGAGAAATGGAGAAGATAAGAGACGTAGGATAAATAAAAGAGAAAAGATTCGATAAAGATTTAATCATTTTTATTGTAATATGTGATTCAACGAATATATAATACAATATATAATGTACAATAATATAAAACGCAGTATATACAATACAAAATATATATAATATACAAATACAGTACATTAATGTAAAACGCGGTATAATACAATACAAAAAGTCATACAATATAATACAATGTAGAAAAGAGAACGTTGAACATAACACAAAAGATAAAATTATATTAACAACATGAAAAGTACCGATTCCTCGATTTTGCCACAATAAAGCTAAAAACACGCGAAAACTTCACAGCCCGCGCGAACGCGCGTGCGGTTCACACGTACGATTATGACACGCGGGAGCTGTGACACACACCATGATATAGGGACACCGGAATATATTTTAACAAGGAAATGGAATGCTGCGGAAGTTTTCATCGCGTCAAGTGCGAAGCGCTTCGCGCACGCCTCGGGAAGAATTTCGCACGAAGCTTTCCGCCGCGCCGCGATCCGTCACTTTAGCCGTGCGGAAAAAGTGACACAAGCCCCGATCGCAAAGCCCCGTACGAAAAGCAGCTGTCTAATGTCCCCTTTTTGCCGCGCTGCGATGATACATGTTTATCGTGCTCCTTACGGAGGGCGAGACGCCGCGCCGGGAGGAAACGCCGTTCCCCTCGGTGCTGAGGTATCTTCCTCTCTGGCCGGGCGAAGAAGAAGATACGTGTGCCGCTTATATGCGCGCGCGGTAATCGGCTTCAATATGCTCCCGCGGATGCACACGAATTCTTCCGGCGAAATCACGGCGCACGGTGCAAGATAAACGAACCGCGGCTGGCGCCTGGCGAATATTTGGCACGAAGCGCGCTCTTTCGCGAAAAGCGACGCCGGGAGAAGAGAGAGAGAGAGAGAGAGAGAGCACGCCGCGCCTCTCCGCCGGTCTCTCGAGCATTCGTAAACTCGGGGAACGTCGAGTCGTCTGATTTCGAGAAGCACCGAGAGTTACCTGCGGTTATATC